GTAGTAGTAGTAGTAGTAGTAGTAGTAGTAGTAGTAGTAGTAGTAGTAGTAGTGGTAGTAGTAGTAGTAGTAGTAGTAGTAGTAGTAGTAGTAGTAGTCCAACTCGCGGGTGTCCTGAGTGCGACAGCAGAGCACCTGACTCCGGTCTGGAAGGTTTGGGGTATAACAATGATTCTTCGTCTGCTTCAGGTGTCATGTCGACGAACATGGTATCCTATTCCTTCCTGTAGTCTGCTTAGTTTTAGTTTAGTTTTAGTAGAATTGTTACGGCGCTCACAACTGCATAAGGTCATATGAGCGCCTTCTTGATCGGCTCGATTTTCTTTCTCTTTGTGTTATTCGTTAAAAAATTGTTCAGGCCATTTGTGTATATTATTCTTTGTCTTCCTCTCTTCTTCTTTCCCTCAATCTTTCCATACAGCAGCAATTTCTCTTGTCCATTTGTTCTATTTTTGTGGCCAAAGAATTTTAGATATCTTTTTCTGATGGTTTTGATTATTGATCTTTCACTACCTGCTATTTAGAGCACTTCTGTATTCGATTTTCTCTCTGTCCATGAGATTCTTATAACACATTTCAAATAGTAATAATATTATGGTATTTATATAGCGCTCAACCCCGATTAAAGTAAAGAGGCTCTGGAGCGAAGAAACCTAGACTTATTTTAAAATCAGTTTAATTTCCTCTTTTCTGCTTTTTGATTGATGAGATACGGCCGGTCTTGTTCCAACAGCCACTTGGCCAAGATAATCCCCTGAACAGACGAGCATTTCCCACTTCCTTCCTTGTGTTTTTCCGTACTATTACGACACTCACTGTTCCAGAGGGTCAATTGTCTAAGACAACCACTTTGCTCATCAACACAGTGTTGGGAGATTTCAACTGCATTTCATTTTTTTTTCTTTAACTTTATTTAAGGTTGTATACCACAAGTTAGTTCACCTCCTTTTTTTTTAGAGATGAGAAATGGTGACAGTTTCATTACATCACGTTTGGTGCTTTTTAAAAGTATTATTATTATTATTTTAGAGAGTGACATATTATCTTGTATGCAAAGAGTAAGAGCAGCAGTGTTCTGAGGGAAAACAAACTCAACTTAATAAACTACATGCATACCAAACGTTTTATCAGTGGCGATGGCAGCGTCTATATATAAAACTGTGTGTTGATTTTCGGGTGTGTTGATTTTAGAGAGTAAGCATCAAATATTTTTGTATTGCACTGGCTTCGAACTCTTTTCTTGTTTAAGTAGGGCCTGGCATAGCTACATTTGACAACTTTGCTCTTGTTTATTCAGAAAAGGTGGGTGGTTGGTGGGTGTTCTGGTGCGATTTGTTCATTCTTTCCAATTAAACGGACAGCTGACTTTGTATGGAAACTGGGTTGTCGTCAATAATGCTGCACATTTTGAGTAATGTGAAAATTTTACTGAAACAGAAGCTGAGAAATGTTACAGTAATACTGTCCATCTTTTCTCTTCAGGTCCGCAATGGATTAGGGCAATATGAGAATGGACCCAGGCGAGTGGTTCACGCATTTGATGGCTTTGCTAAACTGGCCAGTTGGAAGTTTCAAGGTAACTCTACAGCTCTATTCTCCACAAAGTTTATACGATCAAGGGTCTACAGGATGTCCCAGAAAACCAACACGATAGCGCCATTTCTACTGTTCCAGTCTGTGACACCGCCGTTTTCATTTTTTGAGAAAGTCCGGTGTCTGTTAAGAGGTATCGATAACATGAACATCAACATTTTCCGGTTCCCTCACCCCAAGAAGAAGAGGCACGAATACGCCGCTCTCAGCGACTTTTGGATCTCCTACAAGATAGACATAGATGATCTCTCAACCAAGAGAAGGGTTGTCCCGGTCATTAAAAAAACGCCCAAGTCGGCGACTGCCTTACAAGGAAGTGGCTTCCTCAACCTCTTGTCGTCTGCTCATCCCGTCCCAGAGCCAGGGACGAACAACTACTTGACCTTCCTGTCCAGCGTAGCCTTCTACCCCTGGGACAGCAACGTGATTAACCTAATTCGCGTCAAGTCTTTAAAGAGACGTAAAATCATCGCGCAGTGGCCTGTGGAGCGACTCCCGTACATGCACTCGTTCTCGGTGACACAGACCAAGGCGATCCTCCTGGCCAGCCCCTTCCACGTCAACATCTACTGCATGGCCCAAAAAGCGGAACCTTTCTCGTGTCTGGACTGGGACGGCACACAGCCAGCTACTCTGTACGTGGTGGGGTTAGGCTCTGGCCACATACAGACGGTCACCATGCCCTGCGTGTTCACAATGCACCACGTCAACGCTTATGACGTCAACGAGACGACCATCATAATGGACATTTCCACCTACCCGAACCCAGATTTTGTTCACCACCTGGAGCTGGAGATACTGAGAGACCCTGTCAAGAGAAATTCTTTCGCGGCGCACGCGCTCCTCAAACGGTTGTCCATTGACCTTGTAAAAGGTCAAGTCACCGAACTTCCAATTGATATCGACCCGTCAAATCCGAGCCTTGCGTCGCTCTTGGACATGCCAGTGATCAACGAAAAGTACCGCTCCAAGCACTATTGCTTCGTGTACGGACTCGTGATAAAGACTGACAACATCACCCTCAGCGCGACAGCAGTTGTGAAGAAAGACTTGTGTGGTAGAGGGAAAGCTGACCTCACGTGGCAAATGGCCGGACATTTCCCTGTGGAGCCCTGGTTCGTGCCCACTCCTGGGGCCACCGCGGAGGATGACGGTCTCCTCCTGGTTCCGGTTCTGGATGGGGTAAGGGAGATAACCTACCTGTCGGTTCTTGATGCCCGGACGATGACGTCAGTGAACCGCGCGGACTTGCCAACATACATTCCTTACTCCCTGCATGGCCGCTATTTTGAACAGGAAGATAAATAGTCAGAAAAAATCAGAAGGGAGGAAAAAAGAAAAAAAACGAAAAGAAATCCGCACTGTCTCATTATTTGAGTGGATTTGTTATTCTGGTAAAGCTCTATAAAATAAGGGCCTCATTAAGTATTCATCACAAAATGTTTCTAAGTACTTTAGAAATGAAAACGAATCTAATCTTCTCAATTTTTATCAATAAACAGCAGTTTTCAGAACATGAAAATTTCTTCAAAACAGATGGGAGGTATTTTGTGAAAATCAGACGCTCGTCAAAATAATGAAATTGAAGATATCGGCATTTTCCCGCCAGTTTGAGAATTTTTTGTCGATTTTTTGTTTGGCTCAACACCTTTTATGCCCATTTTTGCTGAGGTAAGAAAGCTGTATGTGAAATTTTGTTTCATATGGCTACTAATAGTACCGCAGTAGGTCATTTTTTTTACTTTAATGACCATTTTCTCTGAACTGTGTTTTTCATGGAAGGCATGCCACAAAATCCTCAAATCTCGCCTACTTATTGCCCTAGAGACTTGAAATTTGGCACAGTACGTCATAGCTTATCCATATTTCTAGATAATGAGCTAAACGAAACATTTTTAATCTCGCTTACTGATTGCCCTTGAGACTTGAAATTTGGCACAGTGATAGCTTAGCTTATCCATATTTCTCAGGACTGAGCTACTTTTTTTGTGGTCTTTATTGTATATGACAGGGGGCATGAGCATTTATATCAGGTTAGAGGGGGGGAGGGTATTTTAAAAACTTTTTTTGCATCACAAAATTCAAAGTCATGCTACATCCATGATAACAACCATATAAAAAAATAGTCGCGCTATTACCTCAATAGAGGTCCTGCCTCTCAATGCCTATCTTACAATCTAGAATATCTTGATTAGTGTTTGAGAATCTAGGAATTCAAGATTTGTGTTTATTCTCAAGACGGTCGCCGTCACTATGGCAACGAGTGCTATATGTCATGAATAAAAAACCCAAATCATTTCGCATCTTGGCATTGAGTCTTACAGTGCTAAATTCATATATTTAGGTCAGTGAATAAAAATCTTATTTTTAGCTCACCAGACCTCCCCCCTAACTTGCCAGAAG